TGCTATTTTTGTGTCAGACTATATATTTCAAAACTGTCTCCATATGTATTTCTGAATCTTGATGAGCTTAAGAGCGATGCATTACTTAAGTGTGAAACATGGAATACATTGTTCAGCCTGACAGTCCACATAATGTAGCATTATGGTATCATCTGCTATAAAGGAATTGTACTAAGAACATTATCCATTTAAAAAAAAATTTTGGTTTGGGGTGGTCTAGGAAGTCTCTATTTTCAGCAAATACACAATATGGTTCTAATTAGGAAAGGGTGTGTGAGTCCCTGTCTGTATTGGAATTTGAGCTCCATGGAATCTCAGAAGACCCTCTCCTGCTCCTCTTTTCTAGAGGTTGGAACAGGACCATGATGAAAATAAATTTTGGTTGGTTACCAAAGCCAACCAAGATTTTGGGGAGCCCTAAACATTTCACTCCAAAGACATCAGAACTACAGAACAGAAAAAATAAGTTTAGAGCCATGGCTGCGGTTAAAAAGAATAATAATCAAGTCCTGATTCTGTCAACAGGACAGAAGTTAACTAGTATGGAACAGTGAATTTCAAACTTCAATATGTAGGGTATGGAGGGGAGGGAAGAACTTACAATGGAGAGAGAGAAAGAAAATACGTTCAGAAAACCTGTGTTAGGCATAGCTTGGGATGGGTGGAAAAGAAAAAGTCCATTCTTTTGCTTTCAGTACTATTTCCCTCCCAAAAACAAGCACAGGCACTACAGTGGGGAGAACTCATCCTTGAAAACCTATTTAAATACTTCTCCAATATCGTATTCCTATTGGATTTGGCTGGGGTCAATTGTCAGAATTGTCTGACTCCAATGTAGTTACAAATCTCCTATTACGTTGCAGTCAGACATCATTTAACTGTCCCATTCATTTCTTTGGTTCTCCTCCACTCTATGGAGTGAAAAAACTCCTTCCCCCCCCCCCCCGTTTGCCTAAAAATCAATTCTCTCTTAAGCTGCCAATATTTTGCATTGTTGGTATTATTTTGCTAGATAAGAGTCCTCTGAGCATTTCCTCTACCTCCTCCTCCAAGGAGTGATCCTTGTAACAGACACACATGACACCTTCCACTAAAATGCCTCGCTATAGGGGTAGAAAAAGCAGAGGAAGACCGTATTTTGCTCTACCACAGTCTGACAGTCAGATGCCCAAGTCCTTTGCAACCAGGCCAACGGCTGCATTGACAGCTCCTGACTCTGCTGTGTTTTTGGCTCAATGTTAAGTATTGTCTTTAATAAAAACAAGTACAGTGGTACCTCGGTTCACGAACTTAATTCGTTCCACGATTCTGGTCGCGAACCGA